ACTTGAAACTGCCGTTAAAGTAGAAGTCTCAGAGCTTCTCTATTGTTTTTAGACAATTTGTTTTTTCTCCTACTTTCTCAGTCCAAGTTCAGGGTTTAATCTGATTCAACAAGTATTTACTGAAATTATGGCATAAGATAAAATCCCTGCAAGTGTTAAAAAGAATGAGGATTATGGTGATAATTGCACCACTATGTAACTATTCTGAAAAACACTGAATTATATACTTTAAATGGGTAAATTGTATGGTGTACAAATTATGTTAATGAAGATGTTACCAAAAAACAAAAAGAAAACAAAGCAAAAGCCCCGTTCCCTTCAAACATTCACAGTGCTAAGTATCATGTTTAGTTCTAAGCACATTCCATATATGAACCCACTCAATATTCACAACAACTCTGAAGTAAGTACTTTTATTATTCTTGTTTTATAAATGAGGAAAATGAGTCACAGAATGAATGGGCCACTCTCCCATGGTGAACCCATGCATTCTGATTTTGGGGGCCTGGGCTCTTAGTACTAGAGCTATATAAGAGGGAGATTCTCTCACCCCCAATCATTGCCTCCAGATCCTGTCCCTTATTACTTGGTTGTGCAATTACTAAATGTAATCTTGCAGCATTAAAACTCAAAGGAAAATATGATGGATTTTTAAAACAGAACCCATGAACACTAACTAGGAGAACACTCCCCTAACAAAGCGTAGGGAAATGGGTAGGAAATGTCTTCACGCATTTTCTGTCCAAGGACCCCTGGGTCTCTCTAATCTGTTATCCCATGGCTCACACCGAAGAGATTATTTATCCAGGTTCTCCAATATTTTGTTAGTTGGGTTTCATTTGCTCTGATATAAAACTTTCAACCATAATTACAAGATAATGGCAATTCCTGAAAGGACTTGCTATGACCCCTCTCTTGGATACTTTTTCTATTTGCTGCTATCAAAACTGGTTATGGTAGAAAAACGATAGAAAAGAAATTTGCTAAAAAGTGAGTAATTTTTAAAAAAATTGTTAAGCCTGTTAACAAAATATATCAGACAAGATGTACATAAATATATCTCTAAGTATTTTATTCTTTTTGATGCTACTAAAATGGTATTGCTTTCTTAATTTCTTTTTTAATAGTTTGTCTTAATATAAAGAAATTAAACTGATTTTTATATATTGATTTTGTGTCCTGCAACTTCACTTAACTCAGTTATTCATTCTAACTATTTCTGGTGAAGTCTTTAGAGTTTCCTACATGTAATAGAGTGTCATTTGCAACAGAAACAATTTTACTTCTTCCTTTCCAATTTAGATGCCTTTTATTTCTTTTCTTGTGTAATTGCTCTGTCAAGGGCTCTCATTACCATGTTAACTGAAAGTGGCAACAGTGGACATCCTTGCCTTGTCCTGACCTTAGAGGAAAAGCTCGCAGTTTTTCATCATTGATTATATGAGCTGTGGTCTTGTCACCTGTGGCCTTTATTTTGTTGAGGTACATTCCCTCTATACTGCATTTGCTGAGAGTTTTTATTATAAAAGAATGTTGGATTTTGCCAAATGATTTTTGTGCATAAGAAGCTGGGTAAAACTATTTCATATGCACTTTAGAATAAGACAGGTATATATAAATAAAATATGAATATAAAGTATAGATCAGAGGAAAGCAATTTCTGGAATTTGGTGAGCAAACTTATAAGATCATCCCTTAACCACCACCCCAAAAGAAACTGAATATGATGGTAAAAAATATATATCCTCTTTAATGATCTTAAAACATCAAAGAATGGGGTAGGTGTAAATAATTAGCAGGCCAAAATCTAAGTAAAACCTCCCAACTCAGAAACTGAATGAAGTCACTTCTGCTGAGGCATTTGCTGAACTTGGCAAACTCTTCTAGTAGGTCTGGGTCCACAGAGTGCTCAAAAGCCATCGCCTTCCGAAGGTGCTAGTCACTGGGATTATCAGACAAAGATGATAAAAAAAACTGTGTTTGTTATGATTAAACAAATATAAGATAAGCTTAAAATATCTTCTGGAAACCAACAGCCACTTTTAAAAAATACAGTGGGTGTACAAAATAATTAAACTAAGAAATGAAAATGAAAAATAAAACAACTAAAATTTAAAACTTAAAAATGAGTTTAGGATATTGACTTTGTATCCTGCTGTTTTGCCAAATTCATTAATTAGTTTGAGCAGTTTTTTGGTAGAGTCTACAGAATTTTCCATGTACACTATCATGTCATCTGCAAACAGTGATAGTTTTGTTTCCTCCTTTCCTATTTGGATGCCTTTTATTTCCTTTTCCTGCCTGATCACTGTGGGCAAAACTATATTGAATAGAAGTGGTGAAAATAGACATCCTTGTCTTGTTCCTGATCTTAGTGGGAAAGCTTTTAGTTTTTGTCCATTGAGTATGATATTGGCTGTAGGTCTCTCATATATGGCCTTTATTATATCGAGGAATTCTCCCTCTATTCCCACTCTATTGAGTATTTCTATCATAAATGGGTGTTGTACCTTATCAAAAGCTTTTCCCACGTCTATTAATATGATCATGTGGTTTTGTCTTTGCTTTTGTTTATGTGATGAATTACATTTACTGAACTGGTACTGGCATAAAAACAGGCACATAGACCAATGGAACAGAACAGAGAGCCCAGAAATCAAACCAACTCTCTACAGTCAATTAATATTCGACAAAGGGGGCAGTAACATAAAATGGAGTAAAGATAGCCTCTTCAACAAATGGTGTTGGGAGAACTGGACAGCTACATGCAAAAAAATGAAACTTGAGCACCAACTTACACCATACACCAAAATAAATTCAAGGTGGATAAAAGACTTCAATATAAGCTGTGACACCATTAAAGTCCTAGAGGAGAACATTGGCAAGAAAATCTCAGATATTCCATGCAGCAACATTTTTACTGATAGGTCCCCTAGAGCAAGGGACAAAAAGAAAAGAATAAATAAATAAGATCTCATCAAAATTAAAAGCTTCTGCACAGCTAAAGAAAACAGTATTAAATTAAAAAGACAACCAAGTGTATGGGAAAACATATTGCCAATGATACCTCAGACAAAGGTTTAATCTCCAAAATATACAAAGCACTTACACGACTCCACTCTAAGAAGACATCTAACCCAGTTACTAAATAAAAAAAAATGGGCAAAGGACTTGAACAGACACTTCTCCAAGGAGGACATACAGAATATCCAGAGACACATGAAGAGATGCTCAATATCGTTAGCTATCAGAGAGATGCAAATTAAAACCACAATGAGATACCACTTTACACCAGTCAGGATGGCTATCATAAACAAAGTAACAAACAACAAATGTTGGAGAGGGTGTGGGGAAAAAGGGTTCTTAGTTCACTGTTGGTGGGATTGCAGACTGGTATGACCATTATGGAAAACAGTATGGAATTTTCTCAGAAAAATAAAAATCGACCTGCCTTTTGACCCAGCAATTCCACTGCTAGGATTATATCCTAAGAATCCTAAAACATCAATTTCAAAGAACCTATGCACCACAATGTTCATAGCAGCACAATTTACAATAGCCAAGAGATGGAACCAACCTAGGTGCCCGTCGGTAAATGAATGGATCAAAAAATCATGGTACATATACACAATGGAATTCTATGCAGCAGAGAGAAAGAAGGAGCTACTACCCCTTGCAACAACATGGATGGAACTGGAAAGCATTATGCTGAGTGAAATAGGCCAGGTGTTGAAAGACAAATACCATATGATCTCACCTTTAACAGGAAGCTAAACAACAAAACAAACAAGCAAGTAGAATAAAAACCAAGATACTGAAATAGAGAACAAGGGGACAGTGACCAGAGGGGAGAGGGAAGGGAATTTAAGGGGGAAAAAGGGGAGAGATTTGGAGGAACAAGTATGAAGGACACAGGGACGGGGACTGGGGGGGAGGAAATAGGAGGGAGGTGGGGAGCACGGGGTGGGGGGGAGGCTGGGATGGGAGAAATAGACAAAAAACTGTACTTGAAAAATAACTAAGTAAAATTTTTTTAAAAATGAGTTTAATCATGGATTAAACATATCTGAAGAGAAAAATTAGGGGCTAAGAGATTAAGTAAAAATGTGGGAAAAAGAAAAAAAATCAAAAAGTTCAGAGATGTGGAAAATATACAAAATTAAGAGATCCAACACCAAGTTAATTGGAATCTCAGAAGGAGATAAGAGAAGATGTGGCAGAAGCACTGTTTGAAGAAACAAAGGCAAGGAATTAGCCAGATATAATGACACAGATGAATCCATAGATTCAGGAAGCACAGGATTTCTGAAACATGACAAATAAGTTCACACCTAGATACATCACAAAACTGCAAAATTCAAAAAGGATAAAGTGTAAGCATTAAACTCAACGAACAGCCACCAAAAACAAGATAGACTGTCTTTACAAGGGTGATGGATGAACAACTGCTTTAAAATAACAAATGGTCGCAAAGGTCAGTAGAACAACATTCTTAATGTGCTTAAAGAAACAACTCACAAACCCGAATATTATGCCTAAAATATCTTTTATGGATGAGAGAGTCTTAAATATATTTTAATATACCTACCCCTGCCCTGCAAAATGACAAAGTTTAGCCCCAGCAACCCACACTAAAGAAAACTCTAATGGACACATTTCTGGCAGAAGAAAAGTGATCTTAAATTAAAAAAAAATGAAATGTGATAATAAATAGCAAACATACAGGAACATGTGGGGGCAATTCTACATGAATACTCACTAAATAAAATAATGATGTCTTGGAGTTTTGAAATGCAAATGCAGAAGTAAACTACATAACAATAATAACCTAGCTCAGGAGAGGCATAAATGAATTTAAATGTTCTAAGGACCTTGTATTGTCAGGATAGAAGGTGAAGGAAATGATTAACTTTTGACTTTGACAAGTTAAAAATGCATGTTGTAACTTCCAGAATAAGCACAGTAAAAGTATAACTTACAAAGCAGCAGAAAAAAATGGAATTGCTTCTCAGACTTTTGGTTAAAATCAAGTAAATTATCTGTTCTTACCAGCTTAATATCTGATGATGTCCTCTATCTGAGGACGTTATACTGAATGGACTTTTAGAGCTGGGATGTGGAACAGGAGTTTGCTCAGTCCACTCCATACTTTGATCCAATATTGCAGTACTTCTGGGAAAGGTGCAGCAGGAAAAAAAGTGGCATTAACACAAAGATAGTAAAAAAGGAAAGAAAAATATAGAACATGCAAGAGAGGTAACACAAATAAATTGTAGATATATATTGAAGTATATTAAATGCATTAGTAATAATGTTAAATAATGTAGACTAAATGATCTAATTGAAGACAAAAATCCTAAGAGTCAATTAACATATATAATATATATTAAACATATATACACATATTTTCACACATCTAATACATATATATGCAGAAAGTGTGAAAAATAAACCATGTAGCCAATACCCAGAAGAAAGCTATTGTAGGTACAGTAGTATTGAGCACAATATCCTTTGTTTTATTAGAGGGCGTCAGGTGAGTCACAACATAATAAACAGATATTCAAACAATTAAGAGTTTATATAATTTTTTTACTTGGTTATATATAATATTATAACCACAAAATATTTAAAGTAAAATTATTAGCACTACAAGTTGAAATAAGAAAATCTAAAATCGTAGTGGAAAACTTTTAAATGCTTCTCATTAATTGATGGATCAAACTAACAAAAAGGTGGGTAAAGATCTAAAAGATACAAACATTAAAGTGTACCATTTCTACAAGCAGTTTCACATCCATATTCACTTTGAATTTTTCTTCTGCCTGTGGGCAGTGTTACTAAATCTCTAATCCTAATGAAATGAAAACACTTGAGTACTTAAATGTATTATTATTATTATTATTATTAATATTATTTTATAGGATTAAATTTTCACTAGCTCTTTTCTAGGAAAAAAAAAAAGAAGATTTCAACACAAACTGATCTGCATACAAAAATCCTAATGTCCTGGAATTCAAACCACCAGCAGGAGATACCTTACCAAATAGCATGGTGGCCTAGGAGAGAAAACTCACTGAATACTTGTAAGAACCATGCCTGTTTTTAATTCATATTCAATGTCGCTGTCTCCTCATGACTCTAGAGAAAAAATTACACATTTTCCAGGAGTTCAAAAAGTAGCATATTCACTAGAGGGTGGCTTCCTTTTAGGAGAAAACTTCCCTTTTACCTTCATGAATAGGGCTTTCATTTTATAAAATACGTAATTCTTAAGGCAACAAACAGACCTTAGGCAACTGAGAAAGAGCTTCCAATTAAACACAAAGCACGGTATAGTAGCAAAGAGCATGCTCCGAAGCCCAAAGGGAGTCATCTCCCTGCAGATAAGCAGTTATCAGTCCCATTTTGCAGATATGGTAAATTAGCTTAGGTTGTAATTAAGTGAGGGGTCCCAAAGTCCAGACTGTCCATAAAGTGGGATTAGAAAGGTCTCCACCCACTGTTAGTAAAACTCCACAGAATGGGCTCTGGTATGAACAGATTTCAAACTCAAAGGATTTAAGCTTAGATTGAAAACTACACATAAGATAAAATTTCATTGCAACACAAATATAAGAGGCAATTAGTTATTCATGTACTTTCTAAAATGAAATAAGCATACTATGAAAATAGGCATCATGTTTTTGAAAATAGGTCACAATACAGAAAATAGGTCACAATATAATAAGACGAGAAAGTACAAATAAAGTTTGGGGACCTAAACTAGAATTCCTAGGACCCTTAAATAGCTTAGGAAAACAAAACAACATTTGAAATAAAAAGTATATCAAAACATTCAAGATAAATGGCAAAATAAGGCAGTATATAAGTATATGTATATTTGACTATCTGATACAGAAGTTCATATATATATTTGACTGTCTAATACAGTGCTTTTAATTAAAATGTCTGGTAATAGGTGTAGCTACTGTGGAAAACAGTATGGAATTTCCTCAAAAAACTAAAAATGGAACTGCCTTTTGACCCAGCAATTCCACTGCTGGGATTATACCTGAAGAATTATAAAACACCACTCCAAAAGAACCCAGGTACCCTAATGTTGATAGCAGCACAATTTATAACAGCCAAGTACTGGAAACAACCTAAGTGCCCATCAGTAAATGAGTGGATCTCAAAACTATGGTATATTTACACAATGGAATACTACACAAAGCAGAAAGAAAGAAGGAGTTCCTACCCTTGCTACAGCATACACAGAACTGGAGAGCATTATGATAAGTGAAATAAGTCAGGTAATGAGGGACAAATACCATATGATCTCACCTTTAACAGGAACCTAATCAACAATAGAAAAAATCAAGCAAAATATAACCAGATACATTGAAATTAAGAACAATTTGACAGTAACCAGAGGAGAGGTAGGAGAGGATAATGGGGGGGAAGGGTTTTCAGGAATAACTGTAATGGACACATGGAAAAAACCAAAGAGGGTTGTGGAAGCAAGGGAGGGAAGTGGGTTTGTCTGGAACGAAGAGGGGTGGGGTGGGAATGGGGTAGGGAGTAAATGCAGACAACTATAATTGAACAATAATAAAATTATTTTCAAAAACAAAATAAAGTAAAATACCTGATAATAAATATTTTAGGTTTTTCAGACCATTAGATAAGTCACTAGTACAACTATTGAAGTCTGTCCTTATAGAGCTAAAAAAGCCACAACAGGCAATATGTAAACTAACTGATATCATTATGTTCCAATAAAACTTTATTTATAAAAACACATGACTGGTCAAGTTTTGACCCATGAAGTATAATTTTCTGGTACATGCCCTAGTATGAAATATACTATTTATGAACTTTGTCAGTATTATATTATTCCCATGGTTGCTGGAATGATTGAAATGAGTTATTGCCCAAGACAACTTGGTTGGTTGGACTGACATGTTTAATGCAGCTCAAGAATCAGAACTTAAAAAAAGAATTTTGTTGTCTTACCACATTAATGCTGCTTAGATCCTTATGCTACTTAATGTCACACTTTACATGTTTCATTAGCATATAAAAAACCATCATGTGGGAAAAAACCCATTAAATGATTCAGTGTGAATAAAATCAACCATTGTAGTTTATCTCCAGAAAGATAATACTAAACCTCATTTATTTACATTTAGCCAGGGACATATAGTTTTACTGCTTACAAAACAAACTCATAGAGTCCAACTGACAATGAAGCTGTTTAAGTTTTCCTTTGCATGGGTTTATAGTCGACCTGTATTAAGTTGACAACAATAGAAGGACATAACCCAGAGGAGAAGGGAAGAGATGCAGGTAGGTACAAGTGACACTCTCTATAAATTAAGTAATCCAATTGTGATAAAAGAAGACGGGTTTTCACAGGTAATACAAGGACAAAGGAAGTGTCACCTAAATGCAATGCATCTGTGTTACTCTTGTGAATCTGATATGAGCACCATTATAGTACAGCCTTATGGCCAAATGTATGTCTTGGTATAGATAGACATTCCCTGATGAGATAATTAATACCTCAAAGGATTATATCATTTGGAATAGTTTCCAAATAACACTATTTTGTTTATTATTATACAAGTAACAAAATGTATCATATTATTTGGCAATAGGTTTTGACATGTTTATTTAAAACTTGGAATTTATTTCCCAAGTTTGCTATGGTCTTCTACTAGTCCCATAATTGACTATTTATGTGTATATGCCATTTTGAGTATGGATGCCTTGTGATATTTCTCTGAGCTCAAATTTACATATCACAAAGTTTCATGATTTTATTTGTTTTTATCAAAGAACAAATTTTCAGGTTTGTTAGCTGTTTATTTTCTTTCTGTCCCAGTTTAGATTGAGCTACTATTTTCCCAAAATTTTACTGAAGTTTATACTTTTTATACTTTGTTAACAACTTTATCAACCCATGTTTGAAGATTAGAAGGATCGTTTCTGACAATGCTGTCTATTAGGACAGCCTACAACAACCAGAAAAGCATAATCTCCTATTTTTATACCTATTTAGCCTATAATCCAATAGTTGTTGGTCGCACAAGCTAATAAAGATATTTCTATGGACTTACAGCCCCATTTTTAATTATCCTTATTTATTACTAGTTGCAGTTGTATTGGAATGTTTTACTTCAGGTGAATTTGTGTAATGTATAGCTAATTCACCCAAATTCTTCTACTGAAGTAGAAATCTCCTGGTCTTAAATTGCACTTTCCAATCCCTGGAGCCTTTTACTTCCTCCCTATTAGTCTCTGCATGTCTTTACTTTTACCCTAGTAAGCTGAATACTTGGACTATCACTTCAGCTATTCTGTTCCAAGTATTTCCTTCTGTCATGCATCTTTTCCTCTGCCTACCTTTCTGCCAAAACCCCAAAACTAAATCAAGCCTGTATTAGTTGCCTGTTGCAACTGTAAGAAGTTAGCACAAAAAGTGTTAAAACAACATGTATCTTCTCTTATAGTTCTTGACATTAAAAAGTCCAAAGTCACTTTCACTGGGCTAAATTCAAGGTTCCTTATGGAGGTTCTGAGGGGAGAATCTACTTCCTTGCCTTTTTCAACCTCTGTGGCTGCTTATATTCCTTAGTTTGTGGTTCCTTTTACCCACCTTCAAAGCAAATCATTCCAACCTCTTTTTCCAGTGATCATGCCACCTCATCCTTTTTGTCAAATCTCCCCCAGCCTCTCTTTTATAAAAACACTCTTGATCACATTTAGAGTCCACCATAATAATCCAAATAATCTCCCCATCCCAAGATCTTTAACTAACCTCACTTGTAAAGTTCCTTCAACCATATAATGTGACATCCACATGTTCTAAAGATTAGCTCCTGTTTATTTTAGGGAGACATTATTATGGCTACTACACTGTGCCTACTGGCCCCCAAAGCCTCATATGTATCCCATATGTCTTTTCATGGCTTGATAGTTCATTTCTTTATAACATTGAATAATATTCCATTGTCTGTTTATACCATAGTTTGTCCATTTACTATAAAAAATTGTCATGGAAAACAATATGTTTAGTCTTGTAAGAGAGCTCAAACTGTCTTCCAAAATGGCCGTATCATTTTGCATTCCCATCAGAGATGAATGGGAGTTCCTGTTGCTCCACATCTTCATCAGCATTTGGTGGTGTCAGTGTTCCAGACTGTGG